AAACTAAACAGGAGTCTAACCTGGGTATGTTAACAGGCAGGGGGGGAAACTCGCACTTGTCACCTCCAATCACTAGAGTGTACCAGAAGGAGGAGGATATCAAAAGCAATACAGAGGATCACCACCACTGCACAGATGGACAGATTGTTTCCCTCCCCAACCCATCAAAGGAAGAGTCCTTTCCCCTATCTACCCAACCAGACATCTATTTACATGGCCATCATCACCATAGCATCCGAGTTCCTACCCTGATAAATCACTGGTAGTTTGAGACACCTGACAGCATGGGTGGGTTGAGCCTCCCTGTTTGTCCAACTGGTCAGTCAGTAGCCTTCCCTGTCAGCATGTGGCCCCTTTCAAATTCTGCCTTATAAAACAGCATTACAGGCAGTCCCCAGGTTACGTACAAGATAGGGACTGTAGGTTTGTTCTTAAGTTGAATCTGTATGTAAGTCGGAACTGGCGTCAGCCGCTGCTGAAACATCAGTTTCAACTGCGGCTGAATCTGGATGCCAGTTCTGACTTACATACAGATTCGACTTAAGAAACGCAGGCGTCCCCAAGTCAGCTGCTGCTGAAACTGATCAGCGGCTGATTCCAGGAAGCCTGGGGCAGAGCAACTCTGCCTCGGGCTTCCTGTAGTCAGCCGCTGACTGAACCTGAGAAATGGCTGTCCAGGGGGGTCCCTTTAAGCTCACATCTCAGATAGCTTCAGGCAGCAGCTCCAGGAAATAACTGCTGACCTGGTGCCCTGCCTTAAGTGGTTCCGGGTGGCCTTAAATGTCAGTCAGTGTCCAATCAGTGTGGATGCTCTATTTTGAAATAGCTAAGTGCTATTTTAATGCGTCTTTTGTGTATAGACGTGCTTTTTCAAAATAAGCTATTTCGGAAAATCAATTCCAAAATAGCTTATTTCAAAATAAGTGTGCAGTGTAGATATACCCTAAGGTGTCACAAGACTTATCTTTGTTTTTAAAGTTACAGACTAGCAGGGCTGCCCCTTCTAGATTCATCTGGAAGATGTGCACAACATTAGTCGCTTAATCTAAAACAATATGAGACTGTGAGGGTTTCGGGGTGCAATCACACCCTCCCGGTCCGAGAGGGGGGGTCTGCGGACCCCTTTTGGTCCTCCTTTTGTCCTGTGTTGTCCCTGGGCCGCCGATGTGGAGTCCAGGCCCCTGGGGGTGCGATCACCCCCTCCCAGCCAGAAGGGGGGTCAGCAAACCCCGGGCCGTGAGTACCTGCCGAGCGGGATGGGGCCGAAGCCCCTAGCTTTAAGTCTTCCCCCCCAGTCCGGGGTTCTAGTTTGGTCCCTGTCGGTTAGTGTGGCTGTCGGGTGCTGGACGCTCCCCGTGTGGAGGGAGGGGGACCCGGTCCCGCCCTCTCTCCGGGTCCCAGCCCGGGGCCCTGAGCGCCGGGGCCGCTAGCGCCCCGGCACGGTGGACGAGGGGGGTGAGGATTCTCCCCCCTGTGGCCCGTCCACCCACGGCCGCCAGAAGCGCCCTGCCCCGGGCTCCTTCCTCCCTCCCGTTGGGTCTGCCGGCTGATCCCCGTCGCCCTGGCGCCTACCTTGACTCGGCGGTCTGTGGTGTCTCGCGTTCCGATGGCGTCCCGGGGGTGAGCTCTCCGGCCCTGGCACGCTCCTGGCCGTCCCGGTCTCTGCTGGCTCGGCG